AAAATTAGAAACCTAGAATGTGACAGCAGATAAAAACACCCTCACACACAGCACCCCTCTTACATACACACACTGCGCCCCTCACACATACAATAAGTCCAAATATATATATATATATATATACATACACACACACACACACTACAGCACCCCTCACACTGCACCACTACACACATTATGCTCCAGATACACACTAGATCCCTTACTCTATATACACTCTTTATCCTCTATACACACACACACACACTGGGTCCTTTACACAGTAGATCTCCTACACACACACACTACATTCCTTGTCAGCAAACACATACAACATTCTCTAAACACACCCTCTCTGCAACCCCTACACACACTACGTCACCTATACACACACACTTCAGCCCGTATGCACACACTCGCTGCATCCCCCTATAAAACTATGCCCCCTATACACACACTCTCTACAGCCCCTAGCCACACATATTACACCACAAACACAAATTAAATTGACCTATTTACACAATACCACACCACACTCTACACACACGCAATCCCACAAGCAGGCTCCAAACATATGCACCATGCACTTTCCATTTGTCCTCTGGTATCCCACTTGTGGAGACACCAGAGACAATTTAAAAGCAAACACAGCACAAGCATGTTATTTCATTTGCTTGCGCTGCGCAGAACAAATTCAGGGCCTTTTTCTAATGCCAGAGCTCTTCAGCAGAGCTCTGGGCATTGAACCAACATGCTCATTTTGAGAGGGGGTGTGTTGTCATTAGTGATGACAAAACACACACTCTCTGGCCCCGCCCCCTTCTTAGGGGGCCGCTCTGATTGAAAAATGCCCGGGCCTAATTTTTTTCCCAGTCCGGCCCTGGATGGAGGCGTTTAGCATCGAGGTGGGACACTGGTGGTAGTTTGTTAAGCACGTCCAGGAGCCGGGGGGCGGGGGGTCAGGATTTGTCGGAAGGATTGATAGTATCTAGCTGTCAGTCTGTCTGGGCCTGGAATATTGCCTTTTGGTAGGGTCGAGATTGCTGTCTGCAGTTCTTCTTCTGTGATTGGTATTTCCAGTTATTATTATTATTATGTTATTTATATAGCGCCATCAAATTCTGCAGCGCTTTACAAGGGGTGGACGAACAGACATGTAGTTGTAACCAGACAAGTTGGACACACACGAACAGAGGGGTTGAGGGCCCTGCTCAATGAGCTTACATGCTAGAGGGAGTGGGGTAAAATGACACAAAAAGGTAAGGATAGTATTAGACTAGTAACAGTTGCAGAAGAGGAATCAGTTAGGAGCTATTAACAGTTTAATTGATACGCTTTTATGAAGAAGTGGGTGTTTAATGATTTTTTGAAGGAGTGGAGACTGGGTGAGCATCTAACTGAGGAGGGAAGCGAGTTCCACAGGAACGGTGCAGCCCTCAAGAAATCTTGAAGGCGAGCATCAGAGGTGGGAGTACGGACAGAAGATAGACGTAAGTCTTCAGCAGATCGGAAGGGTCTAGACGGGACATACTTGTGTATAAGGGAGGATAGATAGGTGGGAGCAGCATTATGTAGAGTTGTGTGATTTGGTCTGAATTTAATGTTTTCTGTAGATAGTTCTTTATCTGGTGGTGGGGAGCAGTCGGGGGCCTTAATTATATAAATCACTGTAATAGTCGCAGAATTCTCTAGCTATGTCCTCTGTTGTGTCATGTAGTTTCCCGCCACTAGTTTTAATTCGTGCTATGTATGTTTTTTTGATGTTTGTCTTTGGTCAGTAGCTTCACGCTTTTATTTCCATGTGCATATTATGTTCTCCTAGTCAAATGTACCGCTCTATGTGCTTTATGGGCCTTCTTTTTATTTAATTGCATACAAACTACACCACAACTACTGTTTCAGGCATATCCCACAAGCGGGGAGTTGAGATACCACTGTAAGCTATTTTACAGAGAGCTGGTTATAGCTCTAAAAAACGTGAGTTGGCAATTTTTAGTTCTACGTTGTCTATAGTCCATAGACTTACAATACTGCACTATTGGTCTCCTATTTTCTCTTTTGCATATGCCATTGATGTGTGATACCACTCCAGAGACATCTTATTCAATATCTGAAGACTTTTAAAACCTCAAAAGGACATTTTTATCTTTTACTTTGTACCTTTTTTTGATTACTTATGACAATATTGTATTTATTTTGGCGCTGCCTGTATCCTTTGTTCTGTTTGTTTTATTTATCCTTTTTTTTTTAGGATTACCTTCCTATTCAGGTGTTCAGCCCCCTTGTGATCAGTTATTGTAGCCCTGGTTGAAGAGGGTTGTGAGCAGCCGCGCTATATTTTCTTGTCCTCCAGTAGGCCCCTCACTCTGAGGTTGTTGCGTCTGCCCCTATTATCCAAGTCTTCTAGTTTCTGTTGTATTGCACACAGTATTGCTTTTGTGTTCGAGTGTTGGACTGTCTCCTGGCTATATTACTGCAGGGCCGCCATTTCCCCCTCATCTTCCAGGGTTTGTACTCTGGCGCCTATTTGGTTTACCTCCTCACGGAGTGTTTGCAATTTTTTCCCAAAGCTTTCCTCCGTCTTGGAGAACATCTTCTTAAGATCAGTTTTGGATGGTATTTGAACCAGGAGTGCTCATATGTCTGTACCATCAATCAAGTTGTCTGAAGGCACCGGGCTCGTTAGCGGGCTGTTGGCCGGAGATTTCCTGGCCGCCGCCATTTTGGATCGCGTGTCCAGCTCCATGTTTTGGAGGCAGATGGGGCTTTGGAGTGGACACTATCCTCTTGTGCCTTCGCTCTTTTTGTCGCCAGGTCGCTAAAGTAGCCGGGAATCATGATATTTGGGCCTGTTCTAAGTGGAGCTCAGCTTTTATGCAGCCATCCGCTCCGGAGTCCAAGCCACGCCCCATTACTTGACATTTGAGCAGTGGCGTACACATGACCCATGGGGCCCGGTGCGAAAATTTATTCGTGGGCCCCACCTTCCGCTTACTCGGCGCGGTTCGGGGCCGCAACACATGGCGGCGGGCACCTGGTCGCAGGTGTTGCAGGGCTGCGACCCCACGACTGCGGTATGCACACACACTTAAAGGACCACTACAGACACCCAGATCACATCAGCTCAATGAAGTGGTCTGGGAGCCAGGCCCCTCTAGTTTTAACCCTGCAGCTGAAAACATAGCAGTCTCAGAGAAACGGCTATGTTTCACTGAGGGTTAATCCAGCCTCTGGTGGCTGTCTCATTGACAGCTGCTAGAGGAGCTTCCGCGATTCTCACTGTGAAAATCACAGTGCGAAGACACTGAACGTCCATAGGAAAGCAATGAGTAATGCTTTCCTATGGGTGGCTTAAATGCGCGCGCCTCTTGCCGCGCATGTGCATTCGGAGCTGAGTGGCGGAGGGATCCCCAGCGCCAAGGGAGTCCGACGCTGGAGAAAGGTAAATGCTGAAGACACACACACACTCTCGCGAACAGACGCATACACACTAGCTAACAGACACACACATTTACTGACAGAGACACACTCAGCGACAGACATACATACACACTCACTTACAAAACATACACTTTCACTGACAAACACACACTCACTAACAGACATCAAACA